AAGGAGGAGAAGGAGAAGGAGAAGGAGAAGGAGAATAAGAAGGAGAAGGAGAAGGAGAAGAAGAAGAAGAAGAAGAAGAAGAAGAAGAAGAAGAAGAACCGGAGACTGGAAGAATAAGAAGAAGAAGAAGAAGAAGAAGAAGAAGAAGAAGGAGAAGAAGAAGAGGAAGAAGAAGAAGAAAAGGAACTGGAGACTGGAAGAAGAAGAAGAGAAGAACGTCATGTTTCAAGAGCAAGTTGTTGAAGAAGAAGAACATTGAAGAAGAAAAGGGAAACAAGAAGGAAAAGCATTGGGCGCCTTTTTCAACCTGATCCATGAAACCCATAATAGCAGTGCAGAACTCACTAGATTTTGGGTGATTTGACACGAATATGAAGCCATGTATGACTGAGAATATAGAGTCTAGTATTTCAGTAGTAAGAGCGAGCTTCATCTACAATGGTAGACCGAAAGCTTCAGTCTCTATAATCGTCGGTTGTTCCACTGAGACTACGTCTGGCTCCACTAGACCTCCGGTTATAGAGACTGAATGACCGCCTATGCCATCGTATGTTGAAGATATCACGGCTAGATTTTAGTCGTTAGGCCCCTCCCACAAACATGACAAACTTGCCACGGCCGTATTGTTATGCCCCCAAAATCCCCCAAAATGTCATTTTACCTCGTGCATATCCAATTTTAAATTAGGCCTAGGTCTAGGCTATAATACATCGGTTCCACTTACTAACTTGATTGAAATAATCCGTTTAATGGTCCCTTTTAAGGAAATTATGGGTCAAAATCGACATCCATGTTGAAAATCTTGCAAGCCGTGTTAAACTCTCGCTGCCGTCAATCTCATCCCTTCTAGTCTACGCCGAAGGCAAAATGATTATGAAGGGATGAGATTGACGGCAGCGAGAGTTTAACACGGCTTGCAAGATTTTCAACATGGATGTCGATTTTGACCCATAATTTCCTTAAAAGGGACCATTAAATGGATTATTTCAATCAAGTTAGTAAGTGGAACCAATGTATTATAGCCTAGGCCTAATTTAAAATTGGATATGCACGAGGTAAAATGACATTTTGGGGGATTTGGGGGGCATAACAATACGGCCGTGGCAAGTTTGTCATGTTTGTGGGAGGGGCCTAACGGCTAAAATCTAGCCGTGATATCTTCAACATACGATTGCATAGGCGGTCATTCAGTCTCTATAACCGGAGGTCTAGTAGAGCCAGACGTAGTCTCAGTGGAACAACCGACGATTATAGAGACTGAAGCTTTCGGTCTACTACAATGGTAGCCTACACCGATTCGAACTAATGGGACTGAGTAAAGCAAAATAACATCACAGTCCCAAGTTCTGATCGGCATTACGAAAATTGTCAACACGTTAAAATCATGAAGTTCATGTAAATCAATTCTTCCCATTCATTCAAGAACCTAGGTACAACACAGATATTAAAAACGTGAATTAATAACTTACTAAAATACGGATTTTCCTCAGAATAATTATGACGTTACGTTGCGTTGTCCGAACGATCAACAATGGCGTGGTACGAATATAAAAATACCAGTCATGCCCTCTGTGTGTTCTGTATTAGTGCGAACATTACAAGAACGAGTTGTACAAGTTTCAAAAACTCTAGCACGTTTATTACTCCAATCAAGCTACCTCGGCCTAAATTTCATCGCATACAAAGAAGGGGAATTGTCAATAGTTCGGCCAAATTTCTGTTGGTTGAACATATGGATCTATATGAACCAAAATTATTAGTGATAATAATAAAATATTGATAATAATGATAATGATAATAATGATAATGGGATTATTAATAATAAAGATCAAAATTTCACTAATAATAATTGTCGCATATATAGTGCAATGACAAAAATAGATGCACGAACCCCTTAAAAGCCCCCAATTATAAACCCCTCCAAAATTATTAAAATATATAAATTATTTGCCTTTAACAAAAAAAAACACAAACAAATTGTAGAAACAGAGAAGATGTCAGGATACATTTCGATCAGCAAATTACTTCCAAACACTTCAGAGAAAACACGCATGTTTAATTATTACATGGTTTCAATCGACGTACCTTATCCTTTTTTAGCGTTCAGTCGAACACGGCCCACCTCCTTTCTGAAGCATTTTAGTTTGAATTTAGCCGTAGTAGTATACTAGATGACAAACACAAAAATAGTAATTCGTCTCTCAATGTTTTCATTTCTCAAAAATTATTGTGTGGCGTACGCAGGGTGGGGGCCATATTAAGCCTATAGTGATGTTGAAGAAAACGATGATATGATGGTGATCAGGTGATGATGATGATGGATATGAAAATGATGATAAGAATAATAGTACATCATAATTTGTATTTATATACATAACAAGTCGCGAATGACATGCAAAAGGATTTTTATTCAATTTAGAAGCGAGCAAATAAACATCCAAGACTTGTGTTACAAAATAATGTTGACAAATTAGAGCACATTTTTGGGGGGCAAATTATGCCGACCGATACTATACAGCAACTATCAAGTTAAATAAGTTGCTCCGGAATATATCCCTTTTTTACTCTCCAAAGGTCATAGTACAGTGTTAACTTGATGGTTGCAGTCAGTAGCGTACGCAGGATTTTTTTTTCGAGGGTGGGGGGGGGGGGGGGGTGTTAAAATATGAAAATCGCGCCGAAAATTCTTCAACGACTCGACTCAGCCAGCCGCTGAATAAGCGGGGGGGGGGGGGGGGGGAAGGAGGTTAAGAGCACTTTTTTTTTCTTTTTTTTTGTCCCGGAATTTGGCAAATTATGTAGCCTCTTGTCGATGCCTTCCCGCTGTTGGAGTCTCTAAATTCTGACGAGCGAAGCGAGTCAGAGAAACCGAGACAAATCAGAAGAACCGAGGCGAGTCAGAGAAACCGAGGCGAATCAGAAGAACCGAGGCGAGTCAGAGAAACCGAGGCGCTTGCGCAAGCGCCTCTCTTTCTCTAACTCGCTTCGCTCGCCAGAATATAGAGACTCCAACAGCGCGAGTGCATCGACAAGAGGCTACAAATTATGTCGACCGATACTTCGTTCAGTAGGAGGGGGGGGGGGGGTGGTAAGGTCACTTTTTTGTCACCCCCTTTTTTATTTTATTAAAGGGGGGGTCCTCCAAAACACACACACATAATAAAAAAAATTGAGGGGGGAGCTTACACCCCAAAACCATCCCCCTGCGTACGCGCCTGGTTGCAATTGTTGTTTATATTTATATTTAGGGTGAGGGTATAGAAACCTTACGGTGCGAAAGTTGAGGGTTGACCTTGGAGTCATTGTCGCCAACAACTCGATAAACAATCATTGACAAATTATTGTAATTTAATTTGATTTGATTCGATTTATTCATTTCAATATGAACATAATTCATGTACAAAGTACATATAAATTTAATATTGACATAAAACAATACAGGTATAAACTGACAAAATAGAAATATTGAAGAACTAAAAATGATAACGAAACAGTGTTGACCTAAATGTTAACTACGAAAATTGGGCGGGGGGGGGGGCGCTTGCTAACAAAAAAGGAATGCTTTTACTAGGCGCTAACCCCTAAAACTTACATCATAATAGAGAGTTTGGGTAACAAAAAAGTGAAAGTTACTAACAGATTCATGGTATGCCTATGATACGATAATTATGTATTATTATACAACACCTACATGGGTCCTTGTCATTTGATTGGAGGATTGTTGGTGACTTGATATTCAATAGATGTTCTATTGCACGGGCGTGCATTTTTGGTTATATTCGCCGTGTATTTTTGGTTATAAAAATTATGCAGACTGCATACTAGTACCTCTCTGCCGTGCGCGTATCCCTGCGTGAATCTAACGCGAAGGCAATCTGAATGTATCGAGGAGGCTTGACTCCAACTTTAATTTATCTTTGATATAAGGAGTAAAACATAGTTTTTTGTTGATTAACGTTCTATTAGATCTTTTTCGATGTTGTATAAAACTAATAATGAATGTTTTCATTCGTTCAATAGTGCGAATATTTTCATTCGTTGAAAGATTAACGTAAATTATATTCAACGAGGCTGACGCCTCGTTGAATAGAATGTTAATATTTAAACTCATGAAAATATTTCAAATGTACCCCCTCCTCTCTCTCTCTCTCTCTCTCTCTCTCTCTCTCTCTCTCTCTCTCTATCTCTCTCTCTCTCTCTCTCTCTCTCTCTCTCAATGGTGTTCCTTGCTACCCCCTCCGCCTCTCAGTTCCCATCCCCCCTCAATATCCGAATGCCCCCTCCACCCTCCTCTCTCGCTTTCATACATCCGCACAAACCCACACACACACGCTTTCCCTAAAACCGATATTTTTCGTGTCATTCCAAAACAGATGTTTCATTTCGATGTGTATCTTACTTGAGCCATGCTTTCATTTTTTAATTTGCACTACCACACTTACCATTTCAATTCGTAATAACCCATTTAAATGATCTTAAATTACAAAAACATTGTCACACAGCTTTTATAGATGCAAGGATATATTTTATTCCAATTTATAAAATGCAATGATTATACTCACACAATTTTATTTAGTAAAAGAGATTCAAGTATACAAAAATATAATAGCAATATTAAAGCAGGCGCGGGGGGGGGGGGGGGGGGGGTAGTGAGCACATTTTTTTTTTTGATCCTCAAAATTTTTTCAATTTGCACCCCCCCCCCCCTTGAGCGCCAGGGGGGGGGGGGGCCCAAAAAAGTTAAAATCACGTGATTTTAAATGATTTTTTTTCTCAAGGGGGGGGGGGGGCGGGCCCCCCGCCCCCCCCCCCCCCTGGATCCGCCAATGTATTAAAGTAAAGCGAGATAAATGCAAGCTAAATGCGGGTAAATATCTAGCCAAAGGACGTATTAGTGCCCAGCTAATGCGCAACTAAGGACATAAGTACAAGCCTTTGTTTTGGGGGGTAGAATCCGATACACAATACTCTCGCAGAAAACTGTTTTTTAAATAATTTTTATGCATATATACTAGATTTAAAGGCAAGTAAGTGAACAATGGAGAAAAGGTGAAGAGTTAGATGGTTACCCGAGGCATGAGTGCCTCCCCGCCAGAGCCCTTGTCGGCTTGGTTAAAAAGAATCGAAATTTCTCCTCAGCTCGCCTTTCAAACTCTAAAAATATCATTTGGCCGCCACACCCGGCGGAACGTTAGCTTAAAATACATGTAAGTATATGTAAAAGAGACACTGTAACTATGGCAAGATAAGAGCCCGTCACGAAGAAATCACCCTAAACAACAAGCATAAAAGACTTAATTGCTACCTCGTAAGCCTTGTTCATATATTACACATTATTGTAATGCGGCAATTAAACCGCCATAATAGGAACAAAGAAATCTAAGGCAACTATACAAATCATGGTCGCAAAACTTTCGAAAACAACTTGGAGCAAGCATGCTTATTAAAGTATTTTATTTTAAGCATGTATTTCGCCCGAGCATTTGGATACCAACTATTTGACTTATATAATTTGCAAAATGACATTTCTATGGATGAAATTTACTTTGCATACATGATTTATGTAGGGTATAAAATAGAGTACTGAAATTACCCTCGGGATGATCTCTCGAAAGCCTTTACGATTGTGTCAAGTTTACATATGAATAAATAATAATGACAAGCAGGAAAAGTGAATGTAGTAGCAACAAGTGCCTAATATTTCCGCAGATCCCCAGAACAACTTTACAATATAAAATTAGTGACACCGGCAAATTCAGGCCACAAACGTCTCCCTATTTAAATGTTAAGTACTGTTCATAACACATGCATACATGTTTCAAGTTCCTGAATATATTTTTCACCACACCGTCAACATTGAGTACTGATCATAGCATGCTAAATAATGATAGTGCGTCTGGATTCCTAATTTAACCAGTGTGTCAATCATCATGGCAGTCTGTTCTAGGCGGATGACGAGTTCTTGTCCGAAACGACTTGACTGTCAAATTCTCTCTCCACTCCCCTGTCCAGCTTATTGTAGTCGTCGACCTCCCTGAGACTGTCATAATCGTCGGCTTCATCGTGGACGCTAGTTGTGCCATTCCCTACTTTCACCTTCAGATAACCGTCACTCGACGTCGGATCCGAGTTGTTTGACTGGACGGCCAACCGCGGTAAAAGTTTGTTGTATTCGTTCGCATTGATGTCTTCCGAGTTCGGCGTTGGGATGGCCGATCGATCGAGTTTGTCGTAGCTGGCGCTTTCATCGACAGAACCCTTCGGTTTCGTGGGAAAATCGGGTTTAGCAGCGAGTGCTGGCCTCCGGTTTGCCTCGTCGCCTTTCTCTGAAGGAAGACCCTTACCATGAGGCTGCTTAGCATCACGGAAGGATACTGGAGCGGTATGGAAGCTTCCTCCTTTAGATCCCCCCACCTTAAAATAATACGGGTTATCGTCATCACCTTCGCCCGTGTCTTTGCGGTTAGTCACGTCATCTTCATTTTGATTTTGGTTTGCATTGTTTCCCGTCGTGTTCATGATTTGGACCAGATCATACGCATCTTCGGGATCCGTCGACGTCGGGTCAACCCTTGGTCGAACCCCTGACTGAACTCCGGTTCGAAGTCCGGTATTGTTCAATGACCCTGGTTCGAGCTTGAAATAGTAGTCGCTGTTGGTTTTTTCCGTCGACACCATGAGTAGATCGTAGTCCGAGTCGTCTGGGAGTGGGGACTTCTGACCCAGCCCTTGGTAGTGGTGGGGTAAGGACTGTCCCGCGAGCGTTACGTAGGGGTCGCTACTTTGAGCATCACCCGGATTTGAGGATTTAGGGTCAGCTTTAAGGTTCGGAGGCGAGGATGGGAACTCATAGTGATGATCACTTTTATCTGCAAACCAAAACACAAATAACGAAATGGCATAACGATTTGACAACATGATCTTAAAGACTATCCAGTAATCCATTACAAAACTGTATTGTCCTTCTTATAGAAAATCATATTCGCATTTTCATTCTCGCACATTTCAACGAGGCCGAGGGTTGATTCGTAAAAATCTTTGCGAACATTTCAAAGGTAAGTAAACAAAGAAAGTAAATAAACAGGGTGAAAGTTTTTATAATGTATGAAAGAATGTAATTTTATGAGGGAATAAACTGAGACTGAAATTAAATCGAACCAACCAACCAGTGGCATAGCTATAGGGGGCAAGGGGAGACAGAGAAACGTGCCCCCCCCAATGGCAAATAAAAAGAAAGGGAACAGAGAGGGAGGAAGAGAGAGAGAGAGAGAGAGAGAGAGAGAGATGAGAGAGAAGGGAACGTGACAAAAAATGAAAGGACCCTTCCCGCACCCTTCTCTTCAGTGTCATTGTTATTTGCATTTTTCCCAACGCGTAGGACAGGCGCCGCTACCCCCTTCCCTGCCAATGTGCCCTAAATGCCTATATAGACCCATACTTCGCCACTGGAAACTATAACAGTAAACCGCACTGCGATCATGCGCTAACCGCAGTCAGACCGCAGTAAGGCAAATTACATGAAACGCTGTTTCTCTTCAAAATTGCCGGTGTTTTTTGGTTTGGTTCGAATATTTCGATTCTATCATCATACAAATAGAAGGCCATGTATACAGTACTGTAATAATGGCAAAAGTCGAGATAACAAGGAAATAATTGTGTACGTAGGGATGTGACAATTTAAAAAAAATGTTGCATATTGGAAAACTCTTTCTAGAAAGGAGAAACATGAGTTACAAAGATATAGAGTAATAAAGATTTCCCTTGTTCCAATTCTTTGCAGTCATGATAGACCAAAAATGAGAGAAATCTGACGAATATTTTGGGGTCTTACCAAATTATTCATCGGTTTTCAAAATTGATCCTATTTAATCAGATACACTACATGACTAGTTTCCTGTGCATTTTTTAAAACATACATATATCAGAGGAAGTTTAAGTGTAATTTTCTTCATATCGGTTCCGGAAAGGCAATGCCAAAGCAGGAAGTGCATTAAAAAAAAAATGCTCTTCATTTTTCAGAATTATGGAAAGGTACATAGATATCAAGACTGTAGGGCTACTTGATATATACTACATCCTGTACTCCAACTCTTAAAAGTTTAATACTAACATCAATAAAATCCTGCTTCTACTACTGTTCTACTGCTGCTGCTGCTGCTACAACTACTACTACTACAACTACTACAAGTACTGATCGTACCTTTTAAACAAATTCAAATCAATTAACTTGTGTATACCTGATCGCATTGTACTAGATCCATGGCCACTTTTAGGTCGTCCTCCTTCAGCCCTGTAAATATTAAACCAAATATTACCAATGGATTACGAGACATTTTGATTCTGCACTTATGAATACAAAATCTTTGCTGGTTCTTCAAACTTTTAAAAGGTTTTAATATGTTGATTGCACTGTTTCGAGACCTTTTTACAAACAAAAAATTATTGTCGGGTGTAAAGCCTATGAAAAGGACCTACATGTCATTGCATGCCTGTATAATAATAGTTACCCTACGAATGAAATGGGTTTTTATTCGGCAATGTATTATTTCCATCATATTTGTCTTTCTTCACCAATCGATTGTTAGAAATTTCCGTGTTCATTGTTTCAAGGTCCCTCTGAAATATAGTTGTGTTTGTAATATATTGTGTTATTGTTTACACGTTCATAAGCTAATATTAGTGTAAGGTAAACAAAAAATGCTATTGTGTGATTCTATTTCAAGGTCCATTGATTTGATTGTGAGGTTGTGAGGTTGTTTTATATGATCTGTAGCTCTTTTAACTTATTATTCAAAGCATTCTGATTTTAAGTTGATTTCTGCCACGGAATTGCCAACAAAACACTCCTTCTTTTCACATTGCCACTGTATCCCCTCCCCCTCTCTCTCTCTCTCTCTCTCTCTCCCTTCCCCTCTCTTTCCCACATATTTCTCTTCCCCTCTCTCCTCCCCTCTCTCTCTTTCTCTCCCCCTCTCTCTCTCTCTCTCTCTCTCTCGCTCACTCCCCATCCGCCCCTCTCTCCCCTTCCTCGTATCTCTATACCCCCCCTCTCTCTCTCTCTCTATTCCCTTTTATTTTTGCTACTTGATGGGGGAGGGGTCAGGTACCCGACCCCCCCCCCCCCCGTATTTCACCACTTATCATTCCAATTCTAGCTGTCCACTTACTTTTTCTGGTTACTGGCCTGTTTTCTTCTCCGATACAAGCAGAATAGCAGGATTGTGATACCCACAGCTACCAGGATCAAGCATACCACTGTAACGCTGGCAGTTACTGCTGTGTTGTCCATACTTGGGATGGGTGTGGTGCTATCAAGGGGTCCTGAAGAATGACAAAATAATGATGTATTAGTGATGACTACTTAACTCGATCGCAAAGGCTTTCGAGAAATCGACTCAAGGGTCATTTCAATACCCTTGGCCTGTTGCAAATCATACATTACTCATCACCGGATTACGTAATACCGGCACTTTGATGTAAATGTTTCAAAGGCAAAGGCTATTGGAGTTGCCTGAGGTAATTTTTTTTTTATGAAGTCTTTGTTTTCACACAATAATTACTAGGAGTGAGCACGTATATCCACGTATTCATGAGCACGTATCCCTTATTTTGTATCCGTGTATTTCAACAATTTTGTTCTGCAATGACCTTTGTCTGCTCATGCTCAGACTGCAACCGTGAACTGGCTTATACTTTAATACTTTCTTGGACCTTCTTCTTGAAGTTGAAGTCCTATCTGTGAAAATTGGAAAAATAGGATTTATGCTGTAAGCATCAAGATACACTATAGCGCATCACTGGGTCATGAACCAAGGACCTAGCGGTTTAGAGTTCACTGCTCTACCACTGAACCATCGCGTAAACTACAGAACAGCAGACAATTTCTCAGACACTTAATACGATATCATTACCCAACCATATTGCTCGTTTTGCTTCAAAATCTCCACTTTTTTCTTTTTCATATTATACATGCACATGTATGAAATTCACGATTTACAGACACAGTTCTACCACATTAAATATTCGTTTTGAAAACATTCTTGGAAAATGTTCATCACTAATGTAGATTTTTGAAGGGTATCTAAGAAATTGTGGCAATGCATTTATACAAACCTACCTTCTGACTTTGAAGATGAAGACGCACTTGTTACCTCACCCAACACGTTCTCACTGTCCATTGATATACATGTAGAAAGAGGGCGTCCAACACAAAATCATTGCTTTCAGACTTCTGTCAATCTGCGCCTGTCAATCAACAAATATTATGAAGTACGTTTAGAAGATGCTTTTAGAAAATGACCATTCTGCATAAACCACCAAAGAAATGGAACACTTTCGGAATGTCCTTTCAAATGATGATACCTGCCAATCCGCGTAAATCAACAAAGAGACAAAACATTTTAGAATTTGCCGGTGGAAGATAATTATATCTATCAATCTGCCTAAATGAACAAAGAGATGACAAATAGATTATCACTCCTCATGCACCCAACATTCTATGAATAGACCTGTTCACCAGATATCTATTCCCAATTTTTGTCGCTCGTACACCGCAACAGCTTTGCATCCAATTAATTCACTCACCTGATTTCAAAAGTCATGATTCATTGTGTTGCAATGTTGGACAACTCCAGCCAGCCAGATTTGAAATTGATCAAAAATTAATCCAAACGTAACGTGAGTTTGATATCAATTGCAACTCCGTACATTGATCGGAGGACGTGCAATCAAATTGGATCAATCTTAATTTTTTCAAAGACATGATCTTGCTGTGGTATTTACACAACGATACCTACATGTAAATTTTCTCCTATATAGATGATTAATTTCATAATTCGTACTTTCTATTTGTGGGTTATTCACCTTCTTCTCTTGTCGATTTGTATATTCATCGTTTCTTATGCTACGGTCACAAAGGTTCGTACGAGCGATAATTTCGTACGAATCTCCCTGTTTTTCCATTGTCTTCCCGAATTTCCATTTTCTGAAAATAGTTCGTATGGCGTTCGTAGCAGTTCGTAACGGCATTTGTGACCGAGGCTTAAATTAGGCTAGTATGTTCTTCTTGTTTATAAAAGCCAGCGAACAGCCGAGAAACCTGCATTTGTGTTGAAAATGAAATTTATAAAAGAATATAATAGTTCAGAAAGCTTATAGTAGTGTTAAAACTTTTTATTTTGTATGATTCTGATCTAAGATAATGACACTGATGGATATAAAATAACTTATTTTCAGAATTTTTCCGAAAGTCAGCCACCTCCGGCACGATGACGTCACACTTAGTTCCCGATGTCTGGTTGCTTACTAACACAAGCATTTATGCTTTCCTATAGCAGTCAGGTAAAATAACCACCACCACCACATATCATTGTATTGTGGTTATTCGTATGGCTTGTGAGCGCACAATGTTGTACAATTTAGTTTGCAGGAAATCCAGTTTATCCCTTTAATTCGCCACAAATCGCAGTATACATAGGTGTAATATTATGGTATGAAAAGGGAAGTTTTTGGTAGGGCCTAATCGAAGTCGTCTGGTTGTTGGGTTATTGCCAAGTGTGAACTCAATGGTTAGTCCGAAATGTGTGGATAGAATACATCGAAATACGTATTCAATTTGAGAAGCATTACGTACACGTACATAATGTGTCGGAAGTCAATTATCTATTAACCAACATTTCAACTACCCGAAACCTGTCCTTGAATATTAAAATAGTTCAAGTATTAACCATAGCGACATTCACGCGTTATTAGATTGTAAATTATATTAATTAAGTGAAGTGAAATTAGCTTCTTGAAATGGATTTACAAGATTCATTTACGATACAGTGTAATTCACTTTCTATTGGAAGAAATACACTAGTACTCTGAATTCGGAGTAGTCGTGTGGGGCTAGTTGTCCGAGGTTTATTGCCATAAATGTTTTTTGTCCGAGGGTCGTTGTTGTTAGGCGTAATGGTCCAGGTTTATTTTCACAGGGGAAATTGTCTGAAGGTTTATTGTCATAATTATGGGTTGGTTGTCCGAGTATCACTGCCATGGATGGTAATTGTCCTGATTTGTGGATATTATTATAAAGGGGTACTTGTCCGAAAGTTGTGGTCATATGGATTGATCGTTCGATAATTATTGTCATGGTTGTAATTAATTGTCCAATGGTTACTATCATAAAGCGTCCTGGAGATATTAGTATAAGAGTTAATAATGTACTGGGTTGTTGACATATGTCGTCATTTCAAGGGGAAATTGTAATCCGGGAAGTGATACCTCACAACATTCCGTCTTTTGAATAAAAGAAAATGAGAATGAAGCAGGAAGAATAGCATATCACGGGTATTGTGAGTAAGAAAAGTGGGTCGTCTATTGTGACTAAGAAACCGATATTTTGTGTAAAGTTTACACTCTAAAAATAGAAATGTTCAATCACTATTTAAAAGGGCTGAGGAGTGAACCCTTTTTCAAAATGGTAGATTAACACTTTGAACATGCTGGATCCAACATTATAAAGGTTTAATCTAGCAGGTAAAAAGTATCAATATGACATATTGAAAGAGTGGTCACTCCTCAGCCCTTTTAAATGGTGATTTAACATTTCAGTTTTAGAGTACCAACATCTCATGAAAACGCGTGTAAATGACCTTGTACGCGCTTCAAAGGGAAATCAATGACCTTGTACTTTAAAGCGGTTTCGTGAAACACTGCTCTGGACTTTAAAGGGGAAGTCCACCCTGAAATTAAGTTAGTTTTAATAGGAGTAGCAAAATGAGAGAAACAAGTCAGTGAAAGTTTGAGCAAATTCCGATTAAAAATAAGGAAGTTAGGATTTTTGAAGTTGTGATCAATCAAACACAAATTGGCAACTCTATGACGTATCATGCGAGCTCAACTTCCATTTGCTCAGTACTAAAAAAATCTAAAATTTTCATTTTCCCTCAAGAAAAATTTCAACCATACATGCACCCTAAATATAATAATTGCAAATATGTTTCTATACTCCCCCTGCAAGGAACAAATATATATTCCGTCATCAATAACGAAGAAAACATGATTTTATGGAATATTATGCACAAAGCAAATGAAGGAGAGCTCGTATAATAAGTCACAGAGTTGCCAATTTGTATTTGATTGATCACAACTTCAATAATTCATAACTTTCTTGTTTTCATTCAGAATTTGCTCATACTTTCACTCACCTGATTTTCTTATTATTCTGCCTCTATCGAAACAAACTTATTTTGGGGGTGGACTTTCCCTTTAAAAAAAACACCCATTGATGCAAATGTGTACTTTGCCCTCGTCGCATGTATGTACACATCGTATCAGTTAAAAAAAACAAAAAAAAAACAAATGTTTTGTTCCCCTTTGGTCTGCGTGAGTCACTCCGTTCAGAACAGCGCTTTTTGTTGATATATTCCAATGCTGAATATGGGAGTTTAGTGCTATTGTTCGGTTTTGTAAATGGCATATCAATTTTACATCATGCGAATTAAACTCATGGAAGACCACCATTTTGGTGATAATGAGTCACCCTGTCTAAATATCAGAAATACATAAATAAATAAATAAACTAAGTTCTTATATGCTCAAATGATATGCATGAATACTGATTAGTGTATAATGAAATTAGCGTCATTGTTCTTTTTTTATTGGCATGCTAATGGTGTTTCATATAAATTGACGCTTTTTTCTTCATTCCAATGCTAAATGATTGTGCATGAATGATTTTACCAGGCAAGAAGTGATCGTGCGTGTCTTTAATGACGGTAATGATAATAAGTGGTAGTTTAAATATTGGTTTCACAATGACGTAGTTAAAAGGTTCGTGAGGCACCTGCCCCCTTTATGAATAAGCAAGAAGAAAAAGTAAAAAGAAAAAGAAAGGAAACACGGATAGGGAGAAACCTGGGATACAAAGTGATTATCCTATTTACGCAGTTTCATACTAATGAGTTTATAAATATACGATGTATAATACACATATATCTAACTTATAGTCATGATTTGTACTGCTCTAGTTTTCATGAATCACTATATTCAGAAGAATGCTTTATAGCGAGGTAATATATTCTTATAATGTTTATAGATTGAAGAATTACCAGAAAGGGTATTTATTCAATGATATAAATTTCGAGTATAAAATAGAAATTATGAATGGGGAAAACGCATTGAGTTGAGTTTTCTTCTCCGTCAAAGTCATGTATAAGAGTCTGAAACTAATTCATTCTGAAAGAATTTGAAAATGATGGTCTAATTGACAAGGTATTAAATCGAAATACCAGGTCTGTTTTTCAGGCAATATATCAAATTATCAAGGACTCGTAAGGTATTAAAAACTTTTATGATAATATTTATGCTGGCCTAATGCTTATACGTCAGCCATACTGCTAAGCCGACTCCAACCCGACCGACTTGTCTATACCGACAATGTTTGTCCTTGCATATAGTCGGTCTTTGTCACCTTCGTTGGTGTGGCTGTAATATCACAGCGTTAGAATTGTGCTATGTCACACACAAACAAAACAAGAATTCTCATGGCAATTCTCCTCATCCCCCTTTTAAAAGTAATAACCTTGAATAGTCCGAATACCTCAGTTACACCACCAAACCGACTTCGAACCAATCGATTCTTGGCCATTCGAAAAAAAAAAATGAAAAATTATTGTTATTGTTATTATTATTGTTATTGTTGTTCATCTCAATCCTCCTTATAAGTTGTCCCTAGGACGCGCAGTTCCTGGGAGGATAGAGCATTTTCTCATTCTGGTCCATCCCTTTGGAATAAGCTGCCACTTAGTATTCGTAATTTAACTGCCCTTCATGACTTCAAAATTGCTCAAAAACCCCCATTTCTTCCTAAACAGTGCTATTTAATCATGTCAATGTAGCGTAATAATTTGTGTTGTTTTAGTTTACTTTATTTTAGTTAAGAAAAATACATTTTTGTGCAAGTAATATGTACAGCGCCATGAGCGTCAGAGTCTGGCGGATACCGGCGCTATATAAATATCCATATTATTATTATAAAGAAAAGAAATAATTGGAAATTTATATGCAAGCTAATCGAGGAAATTAAAACACTTTATGTGCGATTTGTTTAAAATGTGTAACTGTAATTTTGTTTATGTAAATATTTTTCTTCTGTCAATGTGTAACTTCAATTGCAAAAATATATTTTATTTTGGAATTTATTTGTAACCTTGTATGGAAATGTTAGAGTTAACTTTAGTTATTTAGGCCTATGCGAAGATTATTTGTATTATTGTATAAAATGTTATAAATTATGTAACATTTTCTTTTATGAGAGAAGAGAATAAAAACCTATGAGAACAAACAAAATTGAGATAATGTAATTTGTGTACGGTGTGTTATCAACCTGATATGGATCCTCATTGGTTTGACTGGGTTGTAAGAAATGCTTTGAATTGATTGTAGAGGTGTTATATATTGTAGAGTTCTGTACTTTTCTCCGCAACCGTGAGTAAAATAAAACTGAAACAAATGCGATTGTTATTGAAATACAATCGTGAAGTATTTTGAAACTCTATCATAGTTACATTTGACAGAGTTCGTGCCTACCTGTCTCAAAACAAGAGTTTCAATTTCAGTTCTAAGCGACATTTCTTTTAATATCATTTTAAACTTCCTCTTTCATTTTCTATGATTTTTCCTATATTATTGATACTTCTTGTTCTTTGATATTCATAACACTGGTGATCATTTACAGATAACACGAGAATTTCGCGAGTGTCTTCCATAATTTTCATAGGCTAAAATGCCTTCGCATATTAAAATACTCCGGTACGCAGAGGACTGAAACCACTCCTTTACGAGTAACTATAGGGATCACTTTTTAGGAGTTGAATACACTAAAATTTTAGACTTTGTTAAAATTAATGCACTCAAAAGTAGTGGTTGCTAGAATTTTCAGGGGATTTTAATTGTTTTTGAAGGTGGATTTACACTATACAAAACGAAACAAAACGAAGTGAAGTGACTCCCTAAGTGTGGAAATCCAATCCTGTACATCCTGAGAGAGGGAGAGAGAGAGAAAAAAGAGAGAGCAAAAAAAAAAAAAAAAAAAAAGAGAGAGAGAGAGAGAGAGAGAAGGCTCTCTAAGTGTATCGATGCAAGGTTGCAATGCATGGGTTTGTAGAAACTAGACCAGTTTACTAATGTATTCAAATTTATGTTTTATTCTTTGGGACCTAGTGACGAGGTATTCAATTGACCTGTTACTAAGAAATAAAGTACACGGAATTCAGTCTGCATCCATTAATTGTTGCTAAGTCGGACAAGCCTCGGGCAAAATTTCGGGTCGTCAATAACAACTTTTATTTAAACAGTACGCGTCAAATTTGAATGTTAGTAAACCGGTCCATGTGAAGCGCTTCTTATCTCCAAGGAAAATGCGATATAACGAATACTCTTCAGATCTTCTTTGATATATATTTTATTAACAAAATTAAAGAAAAGTTTGAACATATTAAAACTGCATTGTTATGATCTATGAGACTATAAAAGAACGAGAGCATGGAAACGATACATTTATATAAAAAAAAAAAAAAAAAAGCTCTTGTCGATTGAAAGCGAGAATACATACCTTTATTACTGCTTAAAGTCGCATGTAATTGTGATCTATTTTTTATTTAAAGTTCTATCCATTGCAAGATTTGAAAGTTGTAATCAATGATAGTTATATTAGCATTACTCACGAACATATAGGCCTAATCAATATGCAATTGGAATTTAACAAATTCTATAGCTTATTGGCATATTTTATTAATACAATTCATTCGTATCACACTGAACTCAATCAGCATGACTTAGTGTAATTTTCCGGTTGTCTCGAAGCAGTCCAGTGCGTAGTGACTGAAATATTTGTACGTATTAACTATCATTAGGCATTAGCCCAAGGTAAGTAGGATTAAGAATCCGACATCATCATCCTGGCAACAGTACTCACCTGTATCACGAAAAAACTCCAGTGGCCCGTGTGCAATACCGGTGTCTTGCAGTTCCGAGGCACTCTTGTCCCTTGTACAATCGGTTTTTGGCGGTACTAATTAGAGACACATACTTGGTCTAAATCTACGAAGATCCGCTCATCATTATCTTGAACATATTTACTCCAACGAGAATGTTGAGTCGTACAGAATCATATTCACACAATGTTGTTGTCGACTGGATTGACAGACACAGTACTGACTGTTATGAATCTACCTGCGTGCAGAAACCACAAAGTTTATCTTCTCCACCGACAGCATGCATGGTAGAAATCTGCATTGTGCGTGTCTCGCTCCGGTAACTCCATTTTACGATCTTTTTTTATGCTCACTGTTTGCAGACCATTATTCATCAGCAGTCTCCATTGATCGCGATCGACGGTTTGACGTTTTTAAAGTATTACTTCTCTGCACACTTCAGGCAACTATGGTTTCGCTTTATATGAATTTCCCATTAAAAATGCTTAGGTGAGAAAAGAGGTAAATACTGGAAACACAGTTGCATTGATCTCAAGTGTTAGTATCAATAATACTTGGATATATACGAGGAAACGTGAATGGTGTCAATATTGTGGAAATATCCGTTTTCTACTCATCTGAAGTAATATTTTTTGTGACCAGTTAGTCGGAAAAAGCAATTTGCGTGTGTGCGTATGTGTGTTCATGTGTGTTTTTTCGTTGTTCTTTCAATTTTGTTTCATGGTTAATATAGAGAGTAGTGTATTTGCTGCATGAAACTGAAGTTGCATTGATCTAAAGTGTGAGTATCAATAATACCGGATAGGAGGAAATGCGAATGGTGTCAATATTGTGAAAATATCCTGCTTTCTACTCGTCTGACGTAATATATTTCGTGGCCAGTTAGTCGGAATAAAAACAATTTGCGTGTGTGCGTATGTGTGTTTGTGTGTGATTTTTCTTTGTTCTTTCAATTTTGTTTCATGGTTGATATAGAGAGTAGTGTATTTACTGCATGAAACTATAGTTGCATTGATCTCAAGTGTTGTATAAATAATACCGACTAGGAGGAAACCTAAATGGTGTCAATATTGTGAAAATATCCTGTTTTCTACTCGTCTGAAGTACTTATTTTTTAATTGTGGCCAGTGCAAAAAAAAAACATTTTGCGTGTGTGCGTATGTGTGTTTATGTGTGGTTTTTCGTTATTCTTTCAATTTCGTTTCACGGTTAATATAGAGAGTAGTGTATTTACTGCATGAAACTGTAGTTGCATTGATCTCGAGTGTTATCAATAATACCGGATTGGAGGAAACCTAAATGGTGTCAATTTTGTGGAAATATCCGTTTTCTACTCATCTGAAGTAATATTTTTGTGACCAGTTAGTCGGAAAAAGCAATTTGCGTGTGTGCGTATGTGCGTTTATGTGTGGTTTTTGTTGTTCTTTCAATTTTGTTTCATGGTTAATATAGAGAGTAGTGTATTTACTGCATGAAACTATAGTTGCATTGATCTAAAGTGTTATTTCCAATAATACCGGATTGGAGGAAACGTGAATGGTGTCAATATTGTGAAATCATCCCGTTTCCCCCTCGTCTTATAGTTATATATGTTGTGGCCAGTTAGTCGGAAAAAAACATTTTGCTTGTGTGCGTATGTGCGTTTATGTGTGGTTTTTGTTTGTTCTTTCAATTTCGTTTCATGGTTAGTGTATATACTGAATGAAACTATAAATGGAGGACATACTTAGACATGACATTGTTTCCATACAAATAACAAATAAACATTCCCTCCGTGAATATTCAATTAAATATTTTATTCAGATTATATATTAGAGGCAGGAATATATATATAGTTGAATTGGGTACTTGCAACATATTTATCAACTTTTGAAAATGGATAATAATTATAACAATAAGACAAAAGTGACTGCGTCTCCTATATGCCTCCGCCCCAAATTCAATATAGGAAATGGATGGAGTTATTCGTGACATATCATGATGAAACTAAAAGCCTTGACATTTGATCTAGTTACAAGTTACAAAATGTAATCAGATTTTCTTTCTATGGTGATATTTAATTACTATCATTACGGTTCTTGAGATATCGCGATAACGAGAACGCGAGACGAGGACGGACTCCCCGTTAACATAATTCCTCCGGCCCCACCTTCGGTCGGCGGAGGATCAATAAAACAGTCCAAATGATTACGTGATTCACGATTTTAATTGGTATAGTGACGAGCTTTGGAAATTTTTGTGTAACATTATTCCTATGATTTATTACACACTTGCAATACCGGTTCTAAAGGGGCTTGGGGTTGATCCCCACCACCCCCCCCCCCCACTGGCAGGGCTCCCAAGAAATGTTCTTTACTAATCGTATATGTGCACTTCACTGTATAACTGCACTGCACTACATACATTTGTACAAAAGAACTATTTATCATTTACGAACCTCTGATATGGCAAAACAGTGATTTTACACGAATTTGAGTTCCCTTTGGAAAGGTACACAAGAATTCATCACACTATGAATATGACAGACAAAGAAAGCGGACAAAATATACAGTTCCTCAGGTAGACAAAGGGACATCCCTTCACTGCTATTATGTAAAAAGGTGAATATGCATGTGACACCTGTTCTACACATTTTTACATAATAGCAGTGAAGGGATGTTCCTTTGTCTACCTTAGGAACTGTATATTTTGTCCGCTTTCTTTGTCAGTCATGTTCATAGTGTCAGATCTTATGGACGGAACATCCAAATATATGTATCTGAACACGCCATGCATTTTTCTAACATCGGAAAACTTCCTAAACATATTTGTATAAAACATTCGCAAATTGCATATTCTCGAAACACACACACACAACTATGTACAGTGTTGATAAGCTGTCTTGATATACTGTACAAGGCAAAATAGATCCTCAACTTCATTACAAAATCATCTTGTTTTCCACCAATTTAGCAACCATATACCACAGTTATTAAGTGTCTTGACGCCCTTCTCTGCCGCGTAAAACTGGAGCGCAAAGGATCCAGGATGTGGAAGCTTGACACAGCATTGCACCATGTTTCTGCCGTTGTTGGCGCTCTTTACTGTCACATGTTCCTTGGGCAGTCTGTTTGCTTTGTTATCTTCAAAGAGATGAAAGTTGGCGCGAAAGTTGATAGATCCGGAGATATCGAGTTGGCACTCTCCTGCTGAATCAGTATGGACCGTTGAGGTCTCGATGTTCTCAATGGCCATTCCCATCTTCAAGAAGTGTTCCGAAGGCCCCCACATCCCGGAGTGTGCAGGGAACAAAGGTTGATTTGTTGGCTCTTGGCATTCTATCAACCAGTTACCGGCAAGGGCGTTTGATTGCTTAGAGCCATCAAAGACCAATAGCGCATACATACCGGGTTGGTCAAACAGAAAGTGAAGGGTAGTCAGGATCTCGGAACCATTCTGGGACCAACAAGTCTCGGCGTTGATAAGGCGGGTGGCGTCGTACTTGGTATTGTTCTTGTCCAACCGGTAGGACAACTTCTTCGCAGACCTCTGGCTGCTGTGCTTGATGCAGAGAAGTCCTTCACCTTTTGGAAGTCGGATGTGACTTGTTTCCAAATCTACAAGGGTCATTCCTGCATTGTGGAATACTTGATTAGGGCCCCAAAGACCACTGCGAGGAGGGTACGGCTCCTTTGTTGATACCTCATGACAATCGATGAGCCACATTCCTACGTAGGTAGCCTTGTCCTGTTTAGGAGTCTTCTTCACAAAGAGACGGAACGCGTAGAGACCTGTCTCGTGGAGTCTGAATTTCAACGTGGCGACCGTCTTTCCATCACGTTTAATTATCTCCCCAAACATCTTTCCCTGATGACTATCCTTTTCCGAATCTCCGCTCTTCAACGAAAATGTTAGGAAAACCTCCTCTGTTAATGTTACCTCAATCTCGCATTCCCCTTCATTGGTTTCCAGCAAAGCCTCCTCGTCTGATTCAAGACCGTGTTTGTTAAACTCTTCTGTTGGACCGCACTTTACAGCCCCTTTCGGGAAGAGTGATTTATAACAGGGCCTTTCGCATACAACCAACCAAGAACCGACATAGGACGTGTCAGTTCCTGGATGTAATTTTGCAAATAGTTTTAGCTCGTACATGCCTGCTTCAGAAAGACGCAGACTGATGGAAGCAGTTGTCGTGGACTTTCCCTTGGCACTCTGAACAAACGCGTGACCATTTCTAAGCTCATTGTCTGAACCCCCAGCCTTGAGTGTCAAGTTCATCTCCATATCTCTTGATTTATCGCACCGAACAACAAAATAACACTCGCCTTCTTTCGCGGAAATTGTGGATGAATCTGGTCCCCTTACGGTCAAACCCATGTTGAAGAACTCGTCGTTCGGTCCCCATATTCCATTGTGTCCTCTTGGAAACGTAATGGGGGCGTCGTCACCGCCCTTGAATTCCCTGGTTGATGTTATCATGTAGGAGGCGGCATGGTGAAACTTTGCATCAGAGTACTTTAGCTTCAGGATAAGCGTATACTTTCCAGGTCGAGGACACGCAATATGACAAACATACCTTTGCCCAACTGTCTCTATGTAGATGTGATCTTCCAGATTTTCTTCCGGGTTGTCGAGATGACAGAGATGGTACACCACTGGCACGAGATCTCCGATCTGCTTGAAGCTTATCGTTGCGCGCCCATCGATGGCATCTACGAACGGTTCCAGATGGGATATTGCTGAGAAACCTTTCTGCAGACATCGAGGATCAACACCCCAGACCTCACCGCTCTCAATCGGTACAGTTGGACTTGTGCTTTTTCCTTCCGCTATTATGGTGAATGACATCAATCGAGTTCCATAGAACTCTGCAACTTTGCTGGAGAAGGTGTCATCACCGATGATGTATTCGTTTTGAGGCAAAGTGCCGTATGCTGTGAAGACATACTTCCCAGGCTCTTGGACCTCGATGCGACATGTGAGGACACCGTCTTCCCACCAGTGGATAATGCTGTTTGCAATCTCTTCACCGGCGTGATCCTCTCGAGTCAACCTGCAGAAAGCATTGAGGGGATACTCGCTCTTGATCTTGATCAGAACATTGTTGTCTGTGATGTTAATGACACCCTTGTCATGTGAAAGACACTCGAGTTTAAACTGATATGCGGCACGACCGATCTGGATGCTGTTGCTCCAAGGCTCCAGGTCGGGATGAGATTCGTTTTCGACGGGGAGGTGCGTGGCGGAAAATTGATCAGGGTATGCGAGGAAGAAGCCCTCGCCCCATCGACGCTCAAAGGTATATGCTCCATCTGCACCTCGATCTGTAAAAGGGATGGAAAATAGTTGAAGAATATTGAGAGTTGGTGAACTTAAAATTTATCAGTGATATTTACGATGGCTGAAAAAGTTTATTGGCAAAATAACCCGTTAATATCAATCTACGCATAAATGACACAGTGTTTGCAAAAGGGTTCGTTCCATTAAAGATGTTACTGACGCAATATGTTATGAAAATGTCCATGATATTTAAATAACAAAGGTTTAACTAGAACTTAAAATGTATTAAATTAATTACAAGTATTATGATGATATCGTCAAACAGGAACATATTTACGGCATTTCGACGGCTGGTCCGATAATGTATAAATGCAGGGTAATTCCTTTTTAGTCCTACGTCTCACGCTTCAGCGAAAAGTGCTCCGTAGTCAATATCCTATAATTAAAAAACTCTCAACTTCTATCTTATACCTAACACAACTCCTTACGCTAACTCTAACCATTTTAACTTAAAAAATCAGTAGCGCCTAACTCTTAAAACTGACCAAATTAAGCCGGTGCATTCGTAGCCGGACCAAATGTGGGATTATAATTATCCTTACTTGATACGCCAGCAGCCCAAGCCGCGTCACAGAAGAACCACTGGTCTTTTATCATTACTCTGTTCCATGAGTGTCTTCCTTGTTCCAGTAGGTAGTCTGTCGCTCCAGGATAGAACCCGATCGATTTAGAAACCCCGATAATGGATTCGCATTTAATCCCCGCTAACCTGCACATCATAATAATAAGAGTAAAACAGTCATCATCGTTTTACGACATTATGTCACCAGTCGTAAATTATTCTAAGGAGATAAGATATTTTACCCAGGCATGTGGAACTCTCCTGCTCGTCCATTGTATCATGCATAATTCATTTGATCGCTGAATTTCTCATAGTTCTCTAGATCTTGATCCTGATAATTAGGTCTCGGAATCAATATCGCCAATATAGTTAGCCTTGTCAATGTGTCGTCACTATAACTTCAACGGTCAGAGTATAATGCGGACTCGGTTAATTCTGATGGTGGATTATGTTTAACAGAAGAAACGAAGAACTTCGAATTTGGTCCAACTCCTTTTAATGAACTCTACATCATACTAGGATTAAACTCACAAAACCTCACGTCGAGTAAAAAAAATGGCCCAATGTGTCAAGAAGCTAATTAAAATCCATTTCTAGAAAGCGCAATTTCGATATACTATTTCGTTTCCTTACTTTGACATTTCGGAGAGCAGCTCTGTAAATCCTTCACATACGGCTACACCGGTTTGTAAGACAGTAGCTGGAGACTGATCGGCTCTTGTCCCGGTGTTCAGGAACACACTGTCGTAAGCTACGTTGTGTGAGATCCAGCGAAAAATGATTCTGAACTTCTCAAGTTCTCCTGTAGCCGTATCGGTTAGCTTGTTAACAAGTGATTGCATATCGGTCTGTGGTATCTTTGGACCCTATAAATATATAAAAGGTAAAAGAATAGTGACAAACATGAATGTCTGAAATATCACACAAACTGAAACTCATCTGTGAAATACGCGGGTGTAAATAGACGTCTTCATAGTTAGAATATGGATGTTTCGTAGTCTATGGCGGAAACTGCACTTGTACGACACACTTGTCCAACTGCTCCGTGGCCAATTTTTAACACATGTACTAACCGAATTCCTAATTTTCATTGCCCACGGACCAAAACACTATACGTAACTCTAAACCAGAACCTAACCTACGACCTAATCACAACCATGATCCGAATATTATACACTGGGCGCTGATATAAAGCTCGGAGAATGTGTCGAATCACCGACTGCATTTCTTATCAGTGTTTTCTTCTTCTCATGCTGCCCGATCATCCGTTATACACTTAAGGATACAAATTTTGAAAAAAAATGAAAAGTAAACTCCTCAAAGATTTAAAAAAAAAAAAGGGGGGGGGGAAGGGTACCTAGGTCTATTAAAAATATCATCTTACATTTATCACAATCTGATCAAGTCTTTCCATGACGTCATAGTCAGGAATCAATGCCCTCTTGCCATCCCAGAAAGTATCCTCGATGTTACGTAATCCTGGTCTGATGACGCTATTCGTCATCTTATCATCATCAGAACTAATATCTTCAAACTTGATCCTGTTATCGAAGAGTGATGAGTTGATATCCCTCCACTGAACGACCGAAATACGACGTCGATTTGATACAGGTGGGACTACAAGGCCATAGTCGTCCGAAAGTAGCTTGGGTACGATCGCAAAGGACTGCTGGGTAACGGTAGTTTCTTCGATCTCGATTATAGATTGTCTACGTTTTACGTCTCCAGTCGAAATGATGTTATCCGAAATTATCTTAACTGTAGTCAATGATGTCCTGGTCCGTTCTCTCATCGATGTCGGCATGGTGACATCGTCGTCATCGCCGTCGAAAGTGATGCTTGGTAGGCAAGGAGGGGAGACAACGGGTGAATCGTCATCATCGTCGGGAAGGTTGATGATGGGGATGGAAGCCATGGTGACGAGGACTTATTTATCTGAAAAACAAAAGATAAAAGTATATACATGATTAATTAAAGATACTATGTCCCTTTTGCAGCACACATTAAATTCTGTAGAACTTTGCAGGAATTATGAATTTGTCATGTATGTCCTATCTGTGAAATTAAATATCAGCAGTGTCCTCGTATTCAAATTTTGCAAGGAAACCCATTTACCTTCTAAACTGACTGTCAGACAATAGGGACTTTTAGATTTGCGTGGACTGATACGTGTGACGTCCATTCAAGGCAGTGCATTAAAAGGACGTCGATCATAGCAATCCCAATTGTCTTCGTGCGAATCTAAAAGTCCCTAATATTAAGTGACTGACTAACATTTTTATTCTTTGGTAATAACATACATAACATGAGCTGGAAAGGGTACACGAGCATTTGTCTACATCAATAACCCACTACTTGTAATTGTCAAAGTTAAAGTGATTGAATCGTTGTGCACAAAACGTACGACTATTCGGTAAAAGGGTCCGAAAATCAGACTATTACTTAGGTGATTGCAATTCCTTAAGTCGATTCGACAACTTACTAATGGTCATTATTTTGCCACTAAAAGCCATTTTAATGTAGTTTTTAGGGAAGTTCTAAATTAATAGTGTCTTTCGAATGCCATTGGAATTTAACCTTTTCATTTTTCGGTCTGCAAATGGGACTTAAGACAAGAGCCTCATTGTTTTAAATGTCAGTATACCAACTTAAAACAACCGAATCGGTTATTGTAGAGGATCGTTTAGTTAAAATTATTGATCTGCTTGAAATCCGCTAACAATTAAAGCTGTGCGGTCATCAACCCTCTATATTCAGATAAGTTTGGCCTAATCCATTTACCAACATTACGAAATTATGAACATAACATTCGGTCTAGCCTCTAACGCATGGAATTTCAAGCGTGGTTCATACATGACATCGGGAATGTCGAGTGGAATCTTGGTGAACACTGGTATTACTGGGGTAATGGATTTCGCATCGGTAGCTACAGACTTTGCGTAAACTCGTTCATCATTTAAAGGTAAGGTAGACATACAATCTTGTGACAATAGTATAGGAGCGACAAGACAGTTAAAATTGACGAGGAGGGGTACATGAGGAAAACAATTTAATTGCCGTTAGGTTTGTTGAATAAAAGGATAGGTTTGTTCATGATTATAAAATAGAGTCCCTTTAATTTCAAATAGTCGTTAAACCATGTATGACATCTGATTATTATCATTTTCATAAGACAAGTTGATTTTACTGTAACTCATTTACAGTGGGATTTTGGTTTCTTTTCAATATCGCAAGACAAAAGTGTTAACAGAAGCTGATGAAAACACATCCACAATGATCGACTTGCAAAGAATCAAATTACGGGTAATATCAAGACCGTACTGTACCGCCTACAGAAACCATGTTCAGATTACATATCGTGGCATTGTCAAATTTCAAAAGATAACGCCCAAGGCTATTTACAGATTAAATGCCTTCTGTTGAATTTTCGAAAGTATTGACAATCACGTCAGGCCAAGGCATGCAGCTGAAGTAGAATCGTTAGAAGCGACCACAGAACTGCGCGCTTAAAAAAAACGTGAATGCAGATCAAGCCAGGAAGCAGCCACACTCGGCCATGTTTTGCTTGGTTTTTGTTTATATCTGTCAATTTTAAATATCGGCACAAAATATTTTCCAGATTCAGATTCAGATTAATTTTATTGGTCCATTTGGAAATTCAGTTGTTGGCTTTACATAAGCACATGAACACACACACACACACACACACACACACACACATATATATATATATTTATATATATATATATATATATATATATATATATATATAAGCACATTAACAATATACAATATTGTTGATACAAATATTCATGATTCGTCCCCTTTAACCCCTTTCAAAGTAAGGGTATGCCTTCACCAATTGAGCGTTGACGCCTACGCAGAAGAGATGGAATTCTGATGATGATAACTCCACCTCCAATTGAAAATCTCCTAAAGAACGAGTTCAAGCTGAAGGGTCAAATAAATGACTATTGACATAATTGAAAGATATGTATGGCTTTGGAAAAGGATTTATTGTGATATACTGGTGTTGACACGGTGGCCTTTTGCCGTTGATTTGAGATCATTAAAGCAAATTCTTGCCCTATCACGACGTCATCTTTGGGAGGAGGTTGAGGTTTGAAAAGGGACAGGGGCCATTATTTGATAACTGTCTCCGTAAGAAGGAAGACTTACCCACAGGCCATAACTTAATGGGTAGATTAGATGTGATTGTCGCCTCGAGCAGTACTTCTCTTGTGGAATTACTGATTCATAGGTTAAGGGCAGTAAATGTTCTTATTATTTGTCATATGGAACAGAATCTCTCCAGGTTCGAACAACAAATAAAACAAAACAAAACAAACAAAAACAAACGGACATACTCAACATTCACATCATCTTTAGATAACGATTCTAAGTATCAGTTCATTATTTCGCAGAACTACTTCATAGACGTACGGACACGATCTTTGCAGAGGGCTGACCCCGGGGGCTGACCTCTCCTGCCAGAATATCAGCTTTCCTCTTTCTAATTCTCTGTTGATTTGTTATCATGATCACGCATATCATTAAAATCGACAAAAATACACAGACCATTTCGACGCCAAAATTGCGTGACAGTTGCAATATTGGAATTTTCAAATTTATCGGGCGACTGCCCTCCGCCCCCTCTTTCGTTTATGAGACTACCAATGTTCTGTTCTCGCCTGAACTCATGATCCTATCCCCAATGACGTTAACAGAGATGTATCTGTTTTACAGATCAGGTTAGTTTCATTGGTGGAAATTGATGGTGGGTGAAGTTTTATTATGTAAGAAATAAATACCATTAACATGATTTAAATTTAAAAAAAGTTTAAGCATTCAAACGCATTCCTTCCTTTATTTTGACTTGAGTTCTGGTAAATATAGAAAATAAATTCTTACGGAATCCAACGAAACTGACGCCGGATGTTCAAGATTACAAATAATTGACATGCGCCAAACGATAGTGGTAGAAAATGTGTAGTGGCTGAGTAATGAGCAAAGAAGATGATGTCCAGTAAGTTTTTGTTTTTAAAAACAAACGCAAAAAACTACTATGTGCTCTCTAAATATGATTCCCATACCAGAGCTCAAGATTAGCTTTAACAACATTCAAGGATAAAAGTAATAGCCTCGTTATAATAAATGTCCTTGTCAACATGTTTTCTATTCGAGCTAAACGTCAAATTTTATTACAGTGATCTCGTTGGACTTTCTCTCTCTCCATAGCGTTCTGTCGACATTCCTGTTTTCCCCTCTCATTTCTTTTCCTGCTTTTCTCTCTCTCACTCTCACTCTCTCTCTCTCTCTCCGTTTCAATCTCTCTCCCTCCTTCTCCCTCTCTCTCTCTCTATCCCCTCTCTATCTCTCTTTCTCTCTTCGCTTTTCTATCTCTCTCTCTCTCTCTCGACATCACTCTCGCCATCACTCTCCTCTACCCTTGCCTCCTCTATCTTTCCTTTTCTCTCTCTTTCTCTCTCTCTCTCTCTCTCTCTCTCCCTCTCTCTTACACTTCTCTCTCGTTACCTTCTATCCCATCACCCTCATCAAATCCCTGAACTACTGACATCATTTAGGACAATGGGTACCTACATCTCAAGGATCAGACTATACCAATCGACTCGCGTTAATCATGTTCATATCTTTCTCTTACATTGCCTATAACTTAGGACCTCGTATATAACGTGTCCGTGCAGCTGCTTGTACAAGGTCATGCTCTCTCACTAGCTCTCTCACATTCAAGGGTAAAGCTAATGTTCCCAGTAGACTTGATGGATTATGCACCCCTATATACTAAAGGTCTATCAAGTTCACGAAGGTGAGCGCATTTTATTTCTTAGTTCATTCCACTTTTTTCTGTTTAATTGTTCCGATAAGATTTAAATCTATTATCAATTGTTAGTCATCAATAATGAAAACTAAGATAAACTGTATACATTATTTATTAAACGGTTATAAATACTTTCTGTTTACACTTGAAAGGTTTGTCAGAAAAGTATGAAGTACTTCAAGATACCACCAAGAAGTAATTAAGTAATATTTAGTTGACAAACCTTTGCACTCTTTATATAACAACATTAAATGTACATTTGCTATCGAACAGTGAACTGTATGTAAATATATCAACACATTTACCTACAGTTTAAAATGGATTATTTCATTTATTTTCCATTCATAAACATGTAACTTTGAACGGCAGTTGATTCTTTGATATCCCTTGATGACTACCTATATTCTTTAAGTTAACACATACAAAGGCCCAGCTTCTGGAAATCACAGTTAATTGCATCTTGAAGATAAAAGGAACTCCATCCCGCAGTACCATTAACATATAAACTTAAAGATAGCATCCCGGAGTCCAGTTTATACATATAACCTTAAAGAAGGTGTACCATTCTGTAAGAATTACCATGAAGAAAGCATCCCGTATTCCCGTTCACATATAACCTTAGAATACATCCCTTAGTTCCGTTCACACATAATCTCGAAGATATCATCCGGTAGTCCCTTTCACATATAAGAAAGCACCCCCGCGCTTTCCACATACATGTAGAACCTTGAAGAGAGCATGCTTCACAGTGAGAGGTCAAGAGAAGATACGTGTAATGAGGTCAAACTTAATGTCACCAATCCTCTGCACTCCGACGACAGGAGCTTAAAGACGTGACAGGATGCGCATTCCTCGTATTAAAGGGGTATGTAGTCGGAATTTCTGCGCAACACATATTCTGGTAGCACTTTTGCATACAACATTGATGTACGTTTAATGCTTTGTTTTACTAACTTCTAAGGAACTAGGGAAGCATGTGTAAAATGCTTGTAAGTAAGCAATCAGGGGAACGACAGCTTTAAACCCTTTCCGAGGAATGAGGATTCATGCCTTACCAAAGGGCACTATATAGCGCATCGACTTGCATGGC